GGTTACGGTAAGCCTGTTATATAACTAATTTATAGTGGCTGTTATCCACAATTTAATGTTGCAAAACCTTAACTAATACCCTTTTAGAAAAACGCCTTCAAATTGAAAAAATTAATCCATCTGTAAAATTAACATAAAAAGTGTGAGGAGGTAAAATAATTTACCAACTACTACTTAACATTTACAATTACTACTTAACATTATTTGAGTAATTTACGACTGACATAAGTCATAACAGTGTAAAGCAGAACCATTTTCCTCGACATTCCTAAGTTCAACACAATACGTTTTTAGTTACTGACACAAAATAATAACACTTTATCATGCTTTAAATTAACGAAAGTACCAACGAAATCCTTGTAATAATTTTTATAACATGACATATTAAGATTAAGATTATCAGGAGTCAATTTTTTGGTTAACCCTTGATTAATTCAAACATTTGTATAACAAATTTGAAAAAATATGTAAACTCTGACCTTTTATATTGCATTAATGCGTCATATAACAAACCTAAAATTAACAAGACCAAAAATTTGTAAACCAAGCTGACCGGACCAGGTCAGCTTGGTTTACAAATTTTTGGTCTTGTTAAGTCTGCTCAACACAAACCATTTCTATATTATTTGTTTGGTCTCTTTATTTCATTAATTTTTAGTAAACGGTAATTTGCTTCCATTTACTAAAAATTCATTTTGTTACTCGAAATTCATTTTTCCTAAATATTTTGACACTAATAAAGAGGTTCCTTCCCTTTTTTTTGCTTTAATGGTGGCCAGGTGAGTAGACATTTTTTAATTAAGAGTAATCAAGTTTTTGATGAAGACCTTTTACCAAAATAATAAAATGTAAAACAATGATTTACATATATAAGAATGTTTTCTTTCTTTCCTCAAAAGTGTTGCAAATGCAGACTAAGCTAAATAATTAGTTAAACGCGTAAATAAAACTTAAGAAACTCGATATTTGACAAATGCGCCAAACGTTCTACATGTTTTTAAAGGTTTTTAGTTACGACCCCCCGTTTACAAAGATCACTAAAAATACGTACAACAAATTATTAGGCATAAAATAGATAAAACTTATTTAAAAAACTGAACTAATTGCATATGTTTATATCTTTTTAACTAACAAAAATTTACAATAAAAGGAAATCAGGGGTTTTTTTTATAAATCTTATAAATGCGTCATTACGTAAATCTAAAATAAAAAAGTAATGGAATTATGATATCATAATTACAAAAAAAAAAAAAAACAACAACAACAACAACAACAACAAAAAACACCACACAAAAACTGAAAATTGATTTACCTATTTTTATATTGCAGTTAAGGTGGTACTACCCTATTGAAAACATCAAAAAACATTTTTTTTTTAAACTTTTACAATTTGAACATCCTAGATCGTGAGTATAACTTTTTTTTTTAATTTAAAAATCAATATAAAGTCATTAAATCAGTATTTAAAGGCTACAAGGCAATTTTTGAATCCCTAGCAACGGCCTTAGCAACCGTGTCTGTTTATGTTTTAGTCCTAATTTAAAGTCTAGTTCCATAAATATAAGTTCAAAAATGACTTATTCTGTAGTGCTCTTAAATAACATTTGATGTAATTATTATAAATGGTCATTATCAATTGTAGTATTAAAAAATATGCAAGAGCTCAGTAATTACATGAGTTTTATAAATTCTCCCAGTATTAATTCTCATCTAAGAGAGAAAGAGAAAGTGTTTCAAAAGCAGCATGTTAAAAAAAGTAAAAAAAGACATACAATAAATAGTAACTGGTTTTATTATGCTACCAATAAACAAAATTATTTTTATCTTAACTAAAAGTTAATTTCCAGCATTTCTTAATAAAGTTCCAGCTTCTCTTTTACTGTTGACTAATGATTGATATAGTAAATTTCACAACATATTAAATTTACAAAAATTAAAACCATGTTTCAACAGTAAGCAAAATAATCAAGTGATGACAAAGGTAACTAAAAAAAAAGAACACAATTATGTTTAAGATTACAAATCAAAAAAAAAAAAAAAAAAAAATTATATCATTTAAATTTGAAACACTATAAATACTATAAATAGAAAAATTCATACTTTGCTTTATTCTAATGTGTCTAATGTAAAATCAAATTAATAAACATCAACACCTGACACTGAAATTTAGTTTTCTGTTCATCAAGCAGAATTTCTTACACTTTAACGACAATTAATTTTATCATCCACAGATCTATCTCTTTGATTTGAAAACAATTTTTTTTCAAGTCGCTTATTATCAGTTACTAATAACTTTTCGAGCCTAATATTATACATCTGCTATCACTAAACATATTACCTGTGACTGACAACTGTTACAACTAAATAAATAAACGTAAAATAATTTTACTAAAATTTGTTCACATTATTTTTATTTAACAAAGAATTCAGACTACAATGCACAAAGTTATTTTTGGACTAATTATTAGTAGACATTTTTTTAAAATTCATAAAAATTTACAATAAATTGTTCTACTATACCACATAAATACACGACATGATAAATTTAAAGTTAAAAAATGTAACGAATAAGTAAATACAAAGAAAAACATTGTATATAAATTGAAAATCAATGTACTTGATAGAGATAAGCTGTTGTGATACCAGAGTAGTAGTTATTAAATTTTGTTATTTCACGATAAACTAAATGTATTTATGGCGTAACGATGTCTTGAATGATTTTTTGGAAATAAATAAAAGCAGTGAGTTCTAGTAATTAAACTACCTATTAAACATTTTTAACAAAAGACACCAACACAAAGATAAGCCAAAAGTAACAACCTTACGCAAAAAATTATTAAAGATAATGTTATGTGTTTTCAGAATAGTTATATTGAAGGCTAGACAACACCAAGGCCTAAAGCAGTAACACTGCTTAACTGGTATAGTTGACAAATCTTGCTCTACACGTTTACCAAGTCACACTACTTTGAAATCATGGAAACGACATTATATAAACATATATACTAACTACAAAACACAATATATTTTTTTAATGTTACAGGGCGCGACAAATCGTTTTTTTTAATAAACGTTGACGTTCGTTTCTTTATTTATTGACAAATGTCTAATTTAAGAGTTTAATGTCAAATATGTACCCCCTTCCAACGCACCGCCCCCTCATCCTCCCTACACACCCTTTTTTTTTAAGTTTTTTTTTTTTTTTTTTTTTTAATTTAAGAGAAATTCTAGATATAGAGGACTTTTTTCATTAATAGATGGTTGCGCACCTCCACTTCGAACCCTTGTTGTCTGCTTTATTTTTATTTTTAATTCTTTCAATTTTTTTTTTTTTTTTAAATTTAAATAACTTTTTATTAAACTTTTAGTTTTATTTTCAAATAACTTTTAATTAACTTCTAGGTAATAACATATATGTTAACTAGATATATCAAAGATACTAATTGAATTTTATCAACTTTTTATTAATTTAAAACAATTTTTCACGCATTTGCAAAGTGTACGCAAATTAATGATAACTGATATGCAATAACCTTTTGACTGCAAACTGTTACCTATTAATACATAGTCAATAGAAATCCTGGTCTGGAAAAGCTATTGTTTCAATCTTATTTTAAAACCGTATCTTGAAAAGTGCGTAAAAAGTAGTCACGTGATCAAATCTAGTGCAAAACAAATTTTTAAATGGCGTTTTCTGAAGAACTTTTTACAGGCGAAACGCTTGATTATATAATAAATATTAATGCTGATGATGAATTAAATCCAGATTTGCAAGAATATTTTGATAATGCATTATTAGAGGTAATAATAATTTTTAAATTTTAATTAGAATGGTTTATTTTGGTGTAAAGGTTAACGCAAATGATTAAGTTAAATTAAAAAAACATTTTTAAAAGTTATTGTATCCTAATATTTACTGTTGATAATCGTACTAAAATAATATATATATAATAAATGCTATTTTTAATATATATTAGGTAACCGATATTGGAGACTTCAAGTGCAAAATTTGCAAATCCAAAACGTATAAAACAAAAGGAGGCTTAGCACGACACAATAAAAACAAACATACCATAAAGAGTCTTACAGATATGCATTATAATGATTTTGTCACAGATATAAAAAAAATTGTTGCAGAAACTAAAGCTGATTTGTCAACAAATAAATGTTATCCTCAAGAAGTTATTTCAGAAATAAAAGACTTTGAAATAAAAATAACAGAAAACTTTTTTGATGAAATAAGAAAAATGTCAAAAAAATTAAAATCATCTGGAAATGCTGAAAAGTATTATTCCAATTTTTATAGCAATATTGTTCTCTTTTCAGACACATATTTTAATCTAAAGAAACCTACATCAACAGTATTTACAACAAAGTTATGCAATAAATTATTTCAGCATTTTCAAAGCTCTCCTTCAAAGAATGTTGAAGTTGAAGAAATTTCACCACGTGAAGTGGATGGATTAAAATATTTGTCTGGGTATGTTATAAGAAATCTACTTAAAAAGGCAAAAACAACAAAAAATTACAAAAGCCAGTACAATCAAGCTATATTACTTCAAGCATTATTACTTCAAACAACTAAAGAAGTTTCAAGTTCAGAAAAGTTAATAAATACCCAAAACAGAGGGGGTTTAACAGCAGTATGTGAAGAATGCTATCAGATTTTCTTGCTAGCTGAGAAACATTTTAGACAAGAAACTGCAGTTGCTAACCTCCGAAATATTGAAAGTAAGAATTTAACAAAACACCTATTAAAGAATCCTAATATTATAAGTTTTTACAATGCAATCGTGGATGATGTGAAATTCGTGTCTATTGATAAGGAAATTAAGCTTAACTTGTTAGAAAAAATGATAGAACTTTATTTTAGAGTTCGTACATTTTCATTGGCTAAAAATATAACTGCAAAAAACAATGATCAAAGTTTTAAAGTAAAATCTTTAAGAAAAAGTATAAAACGTAAATCAAACAATAAATAAGGACTTAAACTTTAAACTTAATACAAATAATTGATATATTTTGTTATATGCTATGTTTATATTTAGATTATATTTATAGGTTTTTTTTTCGTTTTGGTAACTTTTCATTATCAACAACACTCCAAGATACTTCACGTTTTTGACCATGACCACCTTTAGTATTTCCAGTAACCGGCGCAATTGATCTTTGCAATCGCAAGGTATTTGACTGGTAACCAAATTGATATAGTGTAGGGTTGTCATTTCTTCGACCTAAACTCCGTTGTCTACCAAAGTATTCCTCCAAAACGTCTTGATTGAATTTTTCAGTCAAAACAAACGGCATACCACTTTTTAATAAAAATTTTACCAATTCGATAACAGACATTACAGTTATTTGAAGTCCTTCGTATGTTTGCCAAGAGATAAACATTCTTCCTTTTGCATTGTTGGTCGTCATTAACATCCGTGTATGGTAATAAAAATGGTTTGCGTTTCATTATCCCTTCACTGCTGTTTCGCACATTTAAGCAATCAAAAAAACTATCTAACATTTCACAAAATTTTGCTGTTCCATTTGTATCATCAGGGTAATAATTTTTTAAAATGTTACTGACACTACTACTTAAAACCTGGGCTGCAAGTCTTACATTCATAACAGAATAAGCACTAAGTTTAATATGATCCTGTGTTAACTTTGGTATAATTTTTAACCCATTTTTCATTTCGTCATTGACTATTCTTGTGATATGGTACCAAATCAATTGTTGGCCATCATTCCAAAGACTTCGTGTACCCCTTCCATCCCCTGAAATAAAAAAAGATTGAATCTTAATATAACACAAAATTATTGCCTACAATTCAACTCTCAATCTAGGGAGGTTTAAAACATTGCATAGCCCTTCTAATCTTAGCTAAATAAGTAAGCATTTCATACTTTTTAATATAAAAATCTGTTATTTTATTATTACTTTCCAGCAAGAAATAACCATAACCTGATAATTTTCTACTGGAAAGGCCTGTAAACCAATACACTTTAAATATAATTTACATACCTGAGTGATATAAACAGTTCCTTGCTGTTTTGATGAGATGGGGAGCATCAGCAAAAAACCATAAGTACCGTTTAATGTTAGTACATTTGATGAGCGCAACTCATCATAAGCTGAGGCCGACTTTGAGGCAAGTGAGAGGCAAAACCGTATTATCATAGGGTGATACTTTATTGAGCCAAAATTTTTATTACACATTTTCTTTTGCTGGTCCCAAAATAATTTCATAAAGGGAGTAGCTTTTTCGTAGTTACTACTCATTATTTGATTTAAATCATCAACAAACCCATCATCAATAGTAATACCTTTAGAGTCTATTTGAAAATTTATTTTTTCTAAATTACTTGTTAGCTGGGCACATCTTAGACGTTCTTGTTTTAATGCTAATAGAACGCGAACAGGATTTGTTTTACTAAGTGGAGCTTTTCGAAGAGCAGGTGTGGCTAACTGATGTTGTTTTTTTATTTTAATCATTTTGTTCTTTTTTAGTGTGTGGGTACAAAATGAACAAACAGAATTTATATTATCAGACTCACTAGTATGTAATATAATACATGATTTTGCTCTTTTAAACCTTTCATTTGATACACGCATACCATCTGTACTTGCACTTTCTAAATCAAATTCCATTGGAACAATATGATCAACAAAATCATCATTATTTATATTTCTGATGTTTTCTATAATACCAGAACAAAATCTTAATGTACATATTTTGCATAAAAGTTCGGTAACTGTAGTGTTCAGCATTGATCGTGAGTATAATTTATAGATTAAGTGAGTATCTGGCAACATCCTGGTAGACAACAATTTGAACCTGGCATTTTGGATTTATCTTTTAGACTTTTTTTAAATATAGAATATAAAGAAACATTTTAAATTGAATAAAGTTTTTAAACCATAGACAATAGAAAGGAACCAATATTATTTTAATAATAAAGAAAAATAATAATTTTAATATATTAATTTAAAATAAACATCAAAATCTTTATTAATTCGTAACTTTCATTATAAAAGTTTTGTTTGTTTTGCACTAGATTTGATCACGTGACTTAAAAAAAAGCGAACAATAACATACGACAATAGCTTTTCCAGACCAGGGTTTATTTCTATTGACTATGATTAATACAAATATTAAGTGAATTTTTCTCAATTTAGTTTATTAACTTTTAAAAAAAGATACAAACTTGATGAAATTTAAATAAAAGGGAACTAAAAATAAAACAAAAAATATTTTGACATATCTTTTTTTAAAACATTTAAAAATAATAATATAATATTAAGCATTTAACAAGTTATTAAATTTATAATTTAATAAGTTATTATTAAATACCTGATATGTTATCATTATATTTATAATATTAATTATTTAATAAAAAAATATCATATTATGTTGTTAAACGCACAGTAAAAATGAAAACTATAATAAACATAATAGTTCTATAAATTCTATTAAATTATACATTTTTCTGCAAATCTTTTTTTCAAAACTTTAAAAACGACAAGTAAACATTACTTTAATTTATGATAATAAATTTTTTTTTAAAAAAGCACGCTTTTAAAAAAAGAATGTTTTAGCATGGTTTCGTTAAAAGTAATGCAAATGCATTTATTTTAACTTTTATTTGCAAATAAAACGCATGTAAAAACCATGCTAAAACATAACTTTTTTTACTGTTGCTAACTTAAAAAAAAAGCTATTAAAGTTAGGGTTGTTAACCGGAGGATTTCGTGCAATTCCGGAAAAACAACATTCTTTCGTAAGGAGATTGAGAACGAGGAATTACACTTTTTCGTACCGAATGTTACAAAACATTTAAAATTGCCGATGTTCATTTCGCAAAAGTTACTTCCGAAATTTAGCATTTCGCAAGTTGAGATACGAAACAAAACTATTTTGCAACATACGAAAGTAGCGGTCTCGGAAGGCGACTTTACAAACCCACTATAAGCACAGAATAGCCATTAAAATTGGCCAATCTGATTCGCTTATTTTGAAAGAGAGGCAAATCCGCAAAATTGGAATATAAGAAAAATATTCGGCGTTAAACATAAAAATAAAGAAAAATAGTTTGATTTTGTTTACTTTTTGCTCATTAGTTTGTGTTTATTTATTTAAAATTGTTAATAGATTTTGTATTTATTTATTAAAAATTGGACTCCGTTGCTTACTATTTTATTTAATGTGCAATATAATTGTCTTGTATAGTTTCATTATTATTTGTATGATTAAATCAGTATCGTATTGAATCATTAAACGAGTTTATCTTAAATTAAGTGAAAGAATAATGAAATACCATGTCAAATTTTTCCAAAAAGGTTAGCGCAAAAATACTCAAGTATATTCGAATAAAATATAAATTATATAACAATACTTTTAAGACTGCTAAAAAAATACGTTAATGACTTTGAGCATTAGCAACATTTTGTTCAACAGCTAGGCTGATATTTCTTTGTCGCTTAACTTTTTTCCGTTTCAAAACTTCAACTTTAGTTGGTCTTCCCATCGGCACTGGTCTACTACCACGTGTCAGACCTTCTCTTCGTCTCGCAGCAGCAGTCGGTTGCGTTTTAATTTGTCCGAATCTTCTTTTTGAGCATAATGCTGTTTTTAATGAAAACAGAGTTGCTAAAGCGCTTTCGGTGGTATAGACACTTTTCAGTCTAAGCTTTAAACTATTAATAATTTTTTTAGAATTGGGATCGATTTTAGCTAAATCTAATAACTTTTTAAATTCAAATATAAATTCTTCACAATCTGTATTTAAAGATTCCGATTGGTTTTTTTTTTCAGTACACGTCAATGACAAAATATCTTCGTTATTTGCATCGCCAGAGATCAAACAGTTTTCTTGAGTTTCAACTGCGAAAATAACAATTTACTGTTAATTTAATAAATGTAAACCATGTTATAAAATTATTATATTATAAAATCATGTATGTATTCAATATAAATTACAAAAAATTAAAACTAATTGCAGATATCAAGGTAGTTGGACCAAAAAAGACCCGTATCGAATAATAATAATTTTACATACATACATACATACATACATACTTATGTGCGTGCGTGCGTGCGTGTGTGTGTGTGTGTGTGTGTGTGTGTGTGTGTGTGTGTGTGTGTGTGTGTGTGTGTGTGTGTGTGTGTATGTGTGTTCTAATAAACAAATATATTTTATATATTTTATATATTATATAAATTTTATTTTATATATTATATAAATTATATATATATTTAAATATATTTTATATATTATATAAATTATATATGTGTGTATGTGTGTTCTAATAAACAAATATATTTTCAGATGAAACAAAGTGGGCTTATATCGATGCAACTACTTTATTTGCCTTTACAATTCAATTACAAACCTAAAATATTAGAAGATATTTCAATTTCGCTTTGATCTATATCTCTCAAACTTAAAAAAAATTCTGGTTCAGGGCACTTCGATCCAAGTGCAAGCTTCCCAAGTTCGTATCTGTCTTTCGATGTAATAGGTGGAGCGCACGGAAAATTAATTTTAAAAAATTTATGTATTGCAGCCATGTGTTTACAGAATCCACCTTGCCTACCACTAGGACATGAACAGTAGCCAACGTCACTATTGACTGTATATTCGACATTTGAATTTTTAAAACTAGGTACAATGTAAGTGTTCCTCTCCAACAATTTAATAGAACTAATGTTTATTTTTTCAGATTTTTGACATAATTTGTTGTAGAATATTTCATAGGCAGAGCAACGATTATATGCAGTATTCAGAAGACGGTTGCTATAATATCTGTCCCAAACATTGACAGTATAGTCTACAAGTGCTGCAACATTGAATGCTTTTGTTCTACATAAAACAATATCTTTAAGGATTCTTATTGTTGCTTCACTAAAATTATTTGTATTGTGGTTTCGAATAATTAAGTCTTTTCTATATAACATGACAAATTCAAACTTTCTCTTGTTATAGTATTTTTTAACCCTAATATAAAACTTTGGGTGCGTTAATTTTATGCTTTTTAATTGGTGTAACGATAAGTCAAGTTTTTCGCTTGTATCAGCATACATAATCTAGAAAACAAACTTGTAGATAATTGCACTTGAAATTCCATATAAATAACTTTCATTTCAAAATAGTAAACGAATTAAGAATTACTATATAATTAAGTGGTTATAAATCTATTTTTATATGTAACTTAAATACATTTTTAAACAAACGGTAAAGTTTTTGACGATCAGTTTTTGCAGCTTTTTTAAGCAACCAACGCCATTGTGCTTGTAATACATGAAAATAACATAATAACATTGTTGCTGTTGGCCATACAGAACTTAGTGCATTTTTTTCTTCACTTGAGTCATCCAGCATAAAAACTTAGGGCTCCTACAAAAAAATAGTTAAAATACAATGTAAAACATTTAACTAATAGAAATTCCGATTTAAATTAGGTATTGTGGCACTTGTAAACATTTAAGTTTAAAACCTTATCTAGATCTTTATATGTTTAAAGTTCAGCCCTTATGTAGATCAGTGTTTTGATAAAGTTCAGAAAACCTTTAGCCAAAATATATTTTCAAGAGTTATTGAAATGCTGCTTAGTTAATTAGGAATTGCTGTTTATTTAATTAGGAAAGAGCTTGCATTTGATTTTGAAGTGATCATCCATGTTATATTTTAAAAACTCGGAAAACAGTGCATAAAACATCCGGTATATATTTTCCTAATTTTCCTTTTAACTTAGCTTTTAATGTGTGACAACTTTAAATCCAGACAAATTTAACAAAAGAATGTCTTGTCTAACGGAGTTATCAATCTTATTAATTTAGAAAGCATAATAACAGGTGAGGTTATCAAATTTTAAAATATTGTTAGACATATCAAAGTTTGCCAGGATTTTTTGTTGTCTCATCTTAGCTGGTGGGTTTCTTCATTTTTCTGAAATTTTTCTTAATTTTTGTATGGATTTTCTTGATTTTTGTATGAGTGATGACTGCAAAAGTTAATAAACAAATATATTACAAAAATTTATACTTTAAATTAAAACATTTTGGAAATCCAAAAAAACTAAAACTTGAGAAAAATATCCGGAATTTTAGAAATAACCCGAAAAAGGTAATTCCTGACTTTGTAATACAAAGATATCAAATTGTATATATAAAAGAAGGTATATATGTTAACCATTTCATGTATAGAGATAAAAGAAAAAAAGATAAAGTTAGGCTATTATATTATATTATTATATTATACATATGCATACATAGAATATACTTATAAAACTTTAAATTACCTCAGATCCTCCAAAACATCTTGGGCATTCTAATTTAAGAAGTTTGAATGCTTGCTCATAATTCTCTTCAGTTTTATTAGCATGAAATAGAATAGTAATAGGGATACATCCTGCGGAACTTGATGTAGACACAATTGTAACATTTGTTTGTGAGATATCACAAGATGAGGTAGTATCTACAAACACAATTTCGGAAGAAGATTTTCTTAGTTGATTCCTTTGCATCACTTCAGTGACCACTAGTACAGACCATTTCAGATCTTCTTCAATAACTGTCACCAACGCTCCTAAATTAAAAAACACTGAAAACTGCCAAAAAATCTGGCAAGATATAAACCACCAATTGATAAAACGATATGGGCCAGTTCATTATACTTTAGCCAGTGGCCTGTGGGACACCAAAAAATAAGAAAAATTATAAAAAATAGCGAATAAGTGAAGTTAGCTGAAGAACTTTTCTATTAACCAACAAGGTCTTACAGGTTACTTTACTGATTAGCTATTACTATCAGCAATACATGGGAAAATTACAGAAAGCTTGTTACATAAAAGAACTCAAATGTGTCTATAAACATATTATTCATTTTCCAAAATGCCCTCCTAAAATGGCAGCATTTTTTAGTAACCCTATTTTCTTACCTATATGAGTTAAATGTATTATTTAACTCATATAGGTAAGAAAAATTTAAAATGTAAAATTTATTGGAAAACAATGCCTCTCTAACCTGCCTGCTAACATTGAAGGGGTGAACTTGATTTTGTCATTTAATAATAATAAAAAAGATATGGTTGGTTGCCCCCTCCCTGATCTAGTCTTTATGGCTTTTTGCAAATGTATCTATTTAGGTGCTTCTAGCACAAAATAACTGTTTTTTAATACTTTTCTGTTAAAAGAACTTTGTTATTGCTTTTTTTTCAGTTTTATTCATTATATTACCTTTTATTTGTTGGATCTACTCTATACACAAAATTATATAGGAGAAATAGCTTAAATAAATGTCCCACAAAATTTTCTTTAAATTGGTTAAAATATAACGAGCTTACACATATCTGACTTTGTTATATATTTTTTTGTAATATATAAAAATACATGTCAACTCAAAGTAGAATTTGGCAGCAAACCTTCTCAATATAAACTAGGTTTTTTATTTATCATTTATCAATCTTATTTTCAAAATAAATCATTTAAATAAATTATTTTAAAATAAACTGATTATTGTTGTTAATCTCATTTTTACCTGATTCTAAGTATACATTTCTTTTATTCTTTAACATCTCTAAAGGATTTTTAAGAGCAAAATGTTTTTCTTGCCATAAATTGTATAAATAATAAATTGTACGTGATGAAGGATTAAGTGAGGCATCTGCCAAAAGAAAGGAGCCATTTTCATGATAAATAAAGTTATCTGTGTGTATACGTTTTGCTTGAGCTGGACTTAATCCACTGTTAAAATAGTTATAAAAAAGTTTTTTTGTAACTGATGACACTGGTAAGTATTTCATCGAATCTGCACATTCAATGTTATGGTTATGGTTTTTATGAACTACTATAACTCCACTAAGGGGAGGTTCTTCTTTTAGATATTGATCATTTTTCTTAGTATTTGCATTTACTTTTTTGATTTTGATATCAATTTCAGCTACACAGTATGTGTTTTTCCTTGATTTAATTTCTTTATTTAGTTTTGAATGTTGACATTGATATTTTCTATGTGCCACAAGCCTAAATAAAATACATTTGCAAGATATATATACACTTACTGTTAGTTAATGCTTATATTATTATTTATTAGCCCTCAAGACCTATAAGACCTGACTCACTATTGATTGTGATATGAAAAAAATATATAATAGCTTAGTAAAGAAGCTAAGGGGGTTCCTAACAGACAAAGAAAAGAAAATACAAAAACTAGCAATAACATAATAATACAAATAACAACAATACATACCCATTTCGTAATGTTACCAAAAAAAAAAATTTATTCTAACCCTAACTGTGTTGCTAACCCTAAATTTTTCTTAAACTGTTAGCTATTGCTCGATAAATTAAATTTCAAATCATAAAAATTTACTAAATTAAGATAATATCTTAACATTAAACAAACTAAACTTGTGATATAGGCTAGAACACCAAGGCAAATCTAAAGAAATGAAACAACAATAATAAAAAGTAGACATGCTTATAAGATAATACCACCATTTTGGGATGATGATGGTAAAACTTAAGGAATGAAATGATAAAAATGGAGAAAAATATAAAAATTTAAATTTTCAAACAAAATAAAAACTAATACAAAATACATAATCCTTATATAACTAAAAATATTTAAAAATTTTTATTTAAATAGCTTCAATTTATTTTAATCAAACCTTGTTTGTATTAAAGAAAGCCAAATAACCCCAAATCACTTTATTCAAATAAACCCCAAATTACTTTATTTAAAACCACAAATATTTAAAAGTTTATTTTCTGAGGTAACAAGGAAACATTGCTTTAACAAACTTATTATATGCCAATGTTATATTTCAAGACATTGTGTTAAATAGTCATGACAAATTTAAAACATCAGCAAATGACTTATAATGGTCGGTACTTATAATAGTATAACAAAATAGAAAAAATGATACCAGAAAAAAAAATATCTCTTACTTCAATCAAGTAGAAATCCAATTATTTCCTGTTGACTAATGATTAATAAAGTAAATTTTAAATCATAAAAATTTACATAATTAAACCATGTTCCAACAGTAGAAAAACCAAAATTACAGAACTAAAAAAATGAAATAAAAAAATAACAATAATGGGTATAATACATCATTGTTTGTGTGAAATTTTTAAAATGATGTTCCTTGAAATGAATGTTATTTAAATTTAAAAAACAATATATTAAACTACCTTGAACATAGGACATAAAATTTGCCATGTAAGAAGCACATTTTTTTTTGAGATAAACATTATCAACTGTTTGATCTTGAATTTAATTTATGGTCATTAAGTGTGCTAAACTGACAACATTTTAGCGTAAAGTTTGCTCAACTGTAACCAAGGAATAAATACCCTTATACAACTTGTAGTATGTGCGTGTTTAAATTATATATATATATATATATATATATATATATATATATATATATATATATATATATATATATATATATATATATATATATATATATATATATATATATATATATATATATATTAAATATATATAAATTATGTTAGTGTATTCTACAAGAGAGCTCAACGTTGTTAAAGAACAGAGTAAAAATAAATAAGTAAAAACACTTATCTAATTTTTTTTTTCCTTATATATATATAAATATATACATTTAATATATATATCTATGATATTTATATTAAATATATGTATCATATTTCGTGGTAAAAGATAAAATTGGTTAAAAATCCAACCTTGTAGGTTCATTCAGCTTGTATGACTTTAGCCATCTAGTGTGCGTTTTATGTCCATATTCTTCTACCCATTGGTTCGCTTCATCTTCTGATTTAATTGATGCTCGCAATTGAATAACATTTTTATCTTCAAAAATTAACTTTGAATTAAATAAAATAGGGAATGTTGAATTCATTTTTTTTAGAATCACTACCGCTGTTGTTATTAAGCAAGGTTTATTATTTTTTTTATTGCGCGAAAGTTTAAATTCCAATTTTGCAGGTTTGCCTCTCTTTCAAAATAAGCGAATCAGATTGGCCAGTTTTGATGGCTATTCTGTGCTTATAGTGGGTTTGTAAAGTCGCTCTCGGAAGTCGCACTTGCGAAACAAACATTTTCGCCAAACGACGTTTTGAAGTCTATAAAGAAAATTTGTTTGCCAGACTGATTTTCATTGTAAAAATTAACATCTTTAAATCCCAAAATGTTTATAATGAATTTTTATTTTCAGTATAATAACATATTAAATTTTTATGGTTTTATTTTTAGAAATATTGATAAAAAATAAAATTTCTTTCGAAAATCACAACATACGAAAGAATTCTTTACGGAAATAAACTTACGAAACGTGCCATAATAAATATATATAACGATGTTTTTTGAACTCATTACGTATAGTAAAAATAAGAATGATGGGTAGGAATATACATGTTTTTTTTTTTTAAGCATATGAAATTTTTGAAATAGATTCGAATATGCTTAAGCAAATAGTAAAAAGAGGCTCAAAAATATGCTTTAGCTTAAGCATATTTCTAATAAAATATACCTATTTCAATAATTTCTAAAAGTGTGCACGTTACTAAAGTTCTAGCAGATTTTAAATGTATGTAGAGTCCTGTTTGAATACGCTTTTCGAAGTATAGATCTTAGAAACTATTGTTTTTTGATTTTGATAAGATATAAATTTAAGTATAAGATCGTATAGTTCAATCAGTTAGATATATGATAATTCGCCGCAGATATCCGGGTTCGCATCCCGCAGCCATTGTAACTCTTGTTCATTAAACTCTTTTTACTTAAGATAGCATTTTTTGACCTCCATGTTCTATATTACAGATCTTTCGTCACCTTCATAATAGTGACAACCTCTCTTCTGTTAGTTATTCTTTTAAGATTGAGTTCATTGTGCTTAATTCTACACGTTTCCCTTGCTTTACTAAGTTCTACTTAAGTTATGATGAAATGTACGTAAAACAACTTTTTCAAATAATATAAATCATTTTGCTTTAAATCTTGTGCTTTTTGCACTAGACATCTGTCTTAAACACATTGCAATAATTTCTAGCTAACTCTGAGTCTAATATAATCATTTCTGAATATAATTTCCCTGAGGCTCCTACAGCCTATTGTGTTCCATTAAAAGTAACTAGTTTTCGAGTCCAGATATTAATTATAAGCAACTAAAGGTTCACATTACTATTCATTTTCCTGATATATAGAATCCTATTTGCATACGTATCTCTTTCTGTAAATTCTGTTTTATATAGTTTCTTAATTATATAATAAATAAATACTACTATTCACTTAGTTGAATGAACGTATCATTCAGTTAAGACATTTGGCCGCGGAGACCCAGGTTCACATCCCACTGTTTCACATATATTTCTTCTCTTTTTACTCTTTCTGATATCATTTACCTTTAGAGAGATCTCTCGTTCTTTATAATAAACTATTTAATTGTTTATCACACATTCTCTTTATAATTTTTTAAAAAAAAGCCATACTGTTTATCTGTTCATTGAGAGTCCAACTTAACGGGATTTTGCTGTATATATATGTATATATATATATATATATATATATATTATATATATATATATATATATATATATATATATATATATATATATATATATATATATATATATATATATATATATATATATATATATTAGGTATATTTGTATAAACATTTGAAGAATCATTTGACAACATTTTTTTATAATTTTATTATTTATTATTTAAACTGTTAACAGTTAATATCTTAAATATATTGTAACATAAAATCTTTTGCGTCTTTTTCGTAACTGCACATTCCGGAATGCTTTTTCCGTAAGAAACTATTTCGTAAGTATTCTTACGAATTGATTTGTTTCGCAAGTTTTCTTTCGCAATGCTTTATTACGGAATTTTATTTTTTTTATATATTTCGTATGTGCAACTTCCGCAATAACAATTCTATTACGGTAGATAAAGATGCGAAATTTTCGCAAGTTTTGTTTTTCGGCGAACAACCCTAATTAAAGCACGGTTATTTTAATGTCATTGAAACTGCGTTATAAATTTTAGTAACTTATTTTTTTCATGTTAATAATGTTTTTTCTATAAAAAATAAAAAACTATCAATCGCACAGTTATTTAGAAAATAAAATTGCTGAAGTTATGAGTTCGTTTTTAAAAAATTTAAGCGAACGCCAACGTTTGCTTAAGTAAAAGTAATGAAACGTGACG